GTGAGAAAATCTGAACGAAACCACCGTTTTTTTCATTTCTACTGTGAAACTATTGTCAGTTTCATTAATGTGGTATTTCTTTGCATCGTGTGCTTATTCAAAAGAGCCTAAGTGTGCTGCTTGAACTGGCCACCTTATCGCTGCGCGTCCACATAAATGCTGTTCGAGCATAAACATTGTGATAGCAGTTGTGGGAAAAGCAACACGGGGGTGGGAGAAGGAGGGGGGCACTGAATAATACATCAAACTTAGTGCATCTGCCTTATGGTACTTTTACTGGTGGTGTGTACTGCAGTGCATACAGCACGCACACACCTGCATGAGCATCGTTGTGCATGCGTGCTGGTTTAGTAGCCGTTGTTTGCTTGAAATAAACAGTCGTATCCCCTGGAAGCAGATTTAGAGGGGTGCTCACAAGAGTTTACAAGAGTGCAAACATCCCCTGCCATGATCCATGTGCGTCAGAGGAGTGTCTACTTGTGTGTGGAAACGGTGCAAAGCAGACTAACTCATGGTGATGCTGCTCCAGTAGACTGAACATTTCAGGTGCAGATTAAAGGAGATTAATCTCTCAGATTGGAGAAAACTCTAAAAAATAAAAAGCCATCTGTGGTAACAATCTGCACACTGTTATCACACCATCGGATTAAGATGTGTCTTAATAGCAAAGATACGAGCACTGAGTATAATCCACATTTTTTTCAGTGTTTAAATCTCGCTTATCTTTTTTTTTTCTTTCTATCAGTACAGTTATTTTCTGTGCAGATGTGTTAAGTCCACGATGCGTGTCGAACATTAATCAGCTCCCCTGCTGCCTGTCGGGCTCACTATCAGAGTTGCGAGGAGGTGGAAAGACACATGTTGTTACACGATTCCAACACAGACCCTGCTCCCCTCTCTGTCATGTACACTCACGAGCATCAACTGTTGTGCATTTGGTGGTTTATGGTGTTCGATACTCTAAATTTAGACGCCTGAATGTGACACCCTCACATGGACATTATGGGATGTACATTAGCTGATTGATTTCTCCGTAAAATCACACTCACAAGTCGCCCATTAAAACTCTGATCTCATCGATATGTGTGCAGCATTTGCAGCAGGCGGCGCTGAATTATTCACTGTCTCTCGTTGATCTTTTCTTTCTTTTTCTTGTTGTTTTTTTTTTTTTACATTTCCTTATCTTCCTAATTTCCTCTCACTCGCCACAGCTTTCACATTTTGTCTACTCATGCGTGTCCTTAATTCCCCATGTCTCCGTCTTCTCTCTCCTTTCTTCGTTTTCACAGTCTGTTCGTTTTTTTTCCCTCTCTCCTCCTGTCAGCCCTCAGGCATGTCTCAGCCATCTCTCCTCTTCATTTATTAATACCTGTACTCATACAGCCGAGCACACACACACACCGTTGCCTCTGCTCGGCGTTCTCACACACACTCATGCCTGCCGACTGCGCTGAAGTCCCAGAGGATGCGAGGAGCCCGGAGTGTCCGCACACTCACACCAGCTTACAGTGCAGGAAAATGCCCTTTGTAAAAGGACAGGGAGCATCAATCTCCCAGCTGGGTCAGCACGCAGTTTGATGCTTTTTTCTTTTCTCAGACCTGCGTGCGCTTGCACTTTATTCCAGTCGCCATAGATCTGATGTCACAGTTGTCATAGATTAGTTATTGTTTCACCTGACTGCAGTCTCAGTTGTAATTATTTACTGAGCTGCACAAACGGGTCGTGCTCAGAATCAGGGAGGCTTGACAAACTATTATTTTAATTATTTTAATAGAGAGTATTATTTTTGATATGCAACTGATTAACTTTCGGAGTCGACAGCTGCCATGGCCGATTAACCTTAGAAAACATGAAAACTGCAATAGTTCAGCCAAATCTACTGATATTGTGCTAATATTGGGTTTGGTTGTAGCTGAGAATTATTTACATCACAGAAGTGCTACTCATTGCACAAGATATTGACTTAAAATATTAGCATTACCTCTTAGAGTTAATCATGTTTGTCTGTTAGCAAAATAACTCCTGAACCAATGGACAGATGTTAAGGAAACTTTCAGAAAATAATCTTTAGATGTACATCAAGAACTGGTTAATTTTTGGAGTCATTCAATTTTAATTTAACCTACCGTATTTTCCACCATACACGCCACACCACCCTATTAGTCGCATTAGTCCAAATATGTCTAGTAAAGTGGAAAAATCCATAAATGCATCACTTCTTTACTACATCACTTGTTGCATCTATTATGCGTCACCGCTGACAACCTGGAAATGTTGTGCTAAAAACCAATTGGCGGCCGCGAGAGTGTGCATGGGAGGACTTTAACCAGAATTTAACAAGATAATCAACTAAAAACAATTATTTGTTTGCTTGAAATTATAGCAAAGGTGAGTTTCAGTCTAACTTTTGCTTAATAAATACACTTTGACGGTCAAATCTGTATTTTCAAAAGCCGATACGCAGAAACAGGAACACGCAGAGGGCAACCCGCTGTGCATTTCTTCGAAATTTTACACGATTAACCACCTAAAAACAATTATTTGTTTGCTCAACATTATAGCAAAGGTGAGTCTCAGTTGAACATTTACTTAATAAAAGCACTTTAATGGTCAAATTAGCTGCATTTCACCAGAGTGGCACAGCGAAATGAAGCTGATTTGACGTTTGCTCCAGGTGAGCTGGAAGAAGGTGACAGGTTATGGCAAGCCGATTGTGTCATTAATAGCCACTTTGACCTATTACATGACTCAACAGCATGCTATATTACTTGAGTGCCATCTAGTGGCTGAAAATGGTAGTGTTCAATATCTTCAGTCAGAATGAATGAAAACAGTCATATCTCATCCAAAAACTGGTTTATAAATATGGGGAAAAATCTATAAATACGTCACTTCGGCATATAAAAACATTTAAACGTTTTTCTTAGTTCACATCTTAGATCTTATTACGTTTTTTTTTTTTTTTTACATTTTATTGTTGATGTAACTGGGACCCTGTGTACACAATTTCGTTCCGCCACATGTACCACATGTGGTGCGAATGACAAATAAAGAAACTCTGACTCTGACTGATAAGAAGCAGGGCATGCAAATTATGCAAAAAAAAAAGTGACTTATAGGATGAAAAATACAGTTGATACCATAGCTAATTGACATTTGCTTACACAAAAATTGATTATTTCACCATCAGTTTTACTGTTTTAAGCTAAGACTTAAATTTGTAGCACAACATACCACTGAATGTGACTTCTCAAACTATTGCATGAGATTGTGTATAATATTTTCAAGGTTTTACCAAATCCCTAAAAATATTCTGGGTGTACAACTCTGTTATGAAAGGCAGCAAACAACATGCATTATTTCAATATTAAGAATATTACGCCTTTAATTAAAGTCTGGGTTTAAAATAAACAATTAAACAAAAGAGAGACAAGATGCTTTTTTATTGTTTTTTGATCTATGGGAGACGTTGGGGAATCGTATGTTTGTGAACCCGTTCATTCAGATCAGTGCTCACATATATTAACAGGACTATCAACACAGGAGGGAAATAGATGTTCACGAATGCTTCATTTAACAACATTATTACATTTGAGCAGGGCTGCTAACATCAATCTGTCAGGAAACTAAATACTCCACCATCAGTCGATTGAATTTGTACTTTTTTCAAGGAAAAACAAAAATTATTTTTTGATTGTATCGATGCGTTTAGGATCAGGATTTTGCTTTGGTTATGTGGCAATATGGCCGATGAACACCCTTGTTGTTATTTTTTGCTTGTATGTGCATTTGTGCACAGCACCTCTTGACTTGCAGCTGTTTCCCTGAGCTTCCACCTATATTTAGCGCTTTGTGTGAATGGAGCGAGGCTCTGAGGACGAGGTTGGAGGGCAGTGACAGTGGAAGCGTTTTGACTCATGTGTTGTAGAGAGTGAACTGCACAGATGATGGACCACAGCGGTGCTTGTGCGTGCGTGGGGGGGTAGGTGAACTCAGCATGTGCCTCAGTGCCAGCTTGTTGCAGGCATGCATATGAATGCACTTAAGATTGTGCAGAGCTCTGTTCAAACCACCTGCTGTCATTAGAGTTCTTCTCTCTCTGGGAGCTCGAGGAATGTTTATGAAGCAGAAAACTTAGCCTCCGCTGCCCTTGGGTGACTTCAGCGCCATCTGGAGGCTGTCATCATCAAACCGGAGACATCCGGATTAAATAGCTGGTGTTTAGTCCTGGCCATGCATGTGGAACTGGCCATTTTATTGAATTTGATGATCCATTACAGCTCAAATGGAGGTCCAACTCCCTCAGGGTGAAGAGGATATTGCATAGGCAGCGGGGTAATCACAGTGCAATTACACTACCTGCTGACTATATTGTAACACTGATATATAAACCAAGGTATTTAGGAGGTTTACAGATTAAAGAATATATATCAGTGAAGCTGTCTAGGTGGTTAATGATGTCCAGCATGCCCACTGCTGTATAGATCGCAATAAAGATCTAACAATTACTTGTGCTTGATTAAAAAAGGAGCATTGCATGATGAACTGCATGCAGGCTGTGTAATAAAGAGGGAGTTGCATATGTAAACATGTAGCAACCACAATCAGTCATAAGGAAATGAGGATTTATGCCAGCAATAAGAATCATATGTGTGATGCAGAAGAGCTGTGGTGGGAAAACTCAGTGAGGCTTCAGTAGTCAATGGGTTTTTATGAAATGATGTTTTGTGGGGAAAAAAAATCTTTATTTGATGTTTTGCAACTTGAAAAGAAGGACTGTTTTGTTTTCTTTGTATTTACTGCACACGCTTGCTAATTTATTAATTTAATTTTTACTTTAATCTTAAATTGTACTCATGCACAAGCTGAATTTTAAAGTTCAAATGTTGCCTCCGTGTTTGTGTGACGTGGTCATTGTGCACCTGCCTCATTTCTGTTCTGTTTTATGTCTGGCTGTGAGTTCATTTCTTTCTAAATTGTGGCTGTCGTCTTTCCACAGTGAACATTTATCGTGTTCCTTCTCCTTCTTCCTCCACGGGGAGAGCAACGTATGCACAAGTGTAGAGATCGCCCAGCTCCAGCCTGCTTACCACATCACAGAGCACCACATCCGGCTCGCGCAGACCTCCACCACACCGGTGCAGGGTACGACCACAGATCAATTAACCTTTTTATTAAGTCTGTGAGCATGAACCAAAAACAACAGTGATCTTGTTTACGTTTTCTACAGTGACAATCACTGCTAAATATCTAATTATGATTATAAACAATGAAAGGAAAAATGTTATTTAGAGCACTCGTTTT